AATAGTATCTTAATTCAGTGCTGCCTTAATGATTCTTGCCTGCTTTTTTATATACACTGTTCATTGCTTACAAAAACATATATCTAAAATAAGACTACTGAAGTTAATTTAAAATGTGTTTTATTGCTATAAATCAACTAGGCTTTCATGTGCTGCCCCGCAACCAAGGCAATACCATTTGTAGGCAGGATAGACAGGTGGCTCCATTACTGATTCACATTTCCTTAAAACATTTTTTTAAACTGCTGTAGATAAATTAAGCTATTGATTAGAAAACCAGATTGCTTGTAAGTTAGGCCTTTGTTAGCCAATTCAGTCTTTCCATGACTGGTTTATCAATAGATCAATCAAATAAGGCCTTCTACCAGGACTGGATTTTGGATTGGGCCAGTGGGACAAGGACACCAGGGTCTCATACTGCCATGGGTTCCTAGAGCCTCAGGCCACACAGACTGCCAAAGGAAGCTGAAAACCAACTTTCAAAAAGGAAAAATACATCAAGCTCTGGAAAAGAACATACGTTCAATGTTCAGAGTAAGAAGAGACTGTCCAAAACTTTTTAGTAGTTATTAATTTAATTATTATATTTAAATGTGTTATATTTAAAAAAAAAATTCTTTCCATATGGTTATTTAAAATCTTGCTCATTGGTGTTACATGGTTTAATGTTAGAAAATGTTGAAACGTGTAGAAAATTTTGAATGAAAATCAGCATGACATAGAACATAAAACCAACTTTTCATCACCATTGTAACATACATCTGAGTGAAATGACTTCTCAAATGAGAAGAATATAGAGTGGGATTGTTTTGTCCATCAATTGGAATTGACTGGATCTCTGGATCACTGCTGTTTGCAAGATCTCATGCGATTGACAGACAGAAATAATGATGTGCACAAATGAGTCATTTATAACAAAATTTGCAATGTTCCATAAAAATATAAATAACACAGTGTAACAAAAAAATAGTTTCACTTAAATTGTTATGGTTGTTCTGTAATGCTAATTATTATTGTATTTATTTCCACATAGCGTCAATATTTTGGTAAATATAGGTCCTTTACATTTTAGAACTTTTAGAATGAATTATGAAACATTGGTTTAGTACAGATACGTTTTTGTACTAAGTTACTAGTTTTTGTTTTGGGAGGGGGGACATTTTAGAAGTTTCTGTAACATTCTGGAACATTCTAGTGCTCTCTGGAACATTCTAGAACATTGTGGGACTAGTCATAAAAGACCAAAATCATCCAACATCACTTCTGAGGTGTTGGACGACTCACCTTCGGTAACTATTTAAAGTTAAATTGTTGTTAGCTCAGAGTACCATGTAATTTTTATGCATGAGTAATAACAGATTAGCTTGTATAAGTTGTCAACTTTTTTTATGAGCACTGAGTTAATGATACGCAAAAAGTAAAGTGATTTTCATATTCAGCATATTAAACGTCATAAAGAAGCATTAAGAATAAAAGGAAACTACAACTTTACTTTAATACAAATTTGTTTTTTGTTTTTTTTTATTTGCACAGTAGACAATTTTGATTTCATGGTGACTTGATAAAAATGATTTGATCATTTAAAATTTTTAATATTTGCTTTTAGTTTGATCAGTGGCATGTGTTTTGGAATGATTTTGACACCATCTTATAAAATTAATTTTCTAAAAATGTGTTACTTATGTTTAAACCATTACTTCATTGGTAAAAAAAAAAAAAGATAATACAATACGAAAAAAGATGGTCCTTTATTAACTGAAATCAAAACTTTTAGAAGTAAGAATGTTAAGAAAGTTTCAGCCAAATTTCCCATATGGTTATACGTAGGCTCTGTCACTATGGCCGGTAGTGATTAAGGACACCGACTGAGGACAGAATTCTCCTTATTTTGTAGCTTAAACATCAGTTAGGGCTCTCACATTTTTAGCCAATTAAATAACATCTCTAAACTCATCATCATTAACGTTAGTCATTTTCCTACACCAGGCTAAACTGCTTTTAATATGACATTTGAAATAGTTTTCCATCTTGCCTCAAGAGGGAACAGAGCGTTCCAGCATCACGGCAAAGACACAAGGTTGAAAAATACATCCCGATAACAGTCTCACCGTCACAGCAGGAGAGCTTGTGGCATGTGAAAATCAATGGTTGTAAAGCTGATGAATGTTCAAGACTTTACTCTCGTATCATCTCACTGACGACTTTCCGTGAGGCTTTCATTCATCTGTTTTCTACAGCCAATCCCACAACCCCCTTCCCTCTGTACATGATGGGATATGGGTGGTCATAAGATGGAGTGTTCTGACTGCAGTCATCATGTTCAAACTCAATGGCCTTATGAATATCACCAAGGATCATTTCACCCAAAAATACAAATTCTGTCAATGATCATTACTCATGAGACACGAAAAACCCAGTGATGTTTGACATCATAAATAAATTTCAGCCAGTTTCTGACACAGAGATATTGTACGGCTTTAGAAGAATTGGAATATAGTGCACTAGTAAAATTGCTCATAGTAAGATCACTTACCTTTGAGGAAAACAACACACAGTTATTCATATAATTCCCATTCTCGGTCTAATCTTGATGCAATGCTAATTTACTCAACATGAGTTATGATGACTAACCGTTTCCATTTATGTCAATGCCAGTTGCTCAGGTGGCGCATGACCAACTGGAAGATTGTAACCTACTTGCTGCCGTCTTTGCTCATATAAATATAATTTCAATCACGACCACTCTCGGTTAGTTTCAGTAGTTTTAAATAGCAAATAGTTTGCAAATAGTTTTAGCACTTTAATGTCTATGGCAATGTTAATGTATTTTGTTTTGGCAGGCTACTTCTGCTACACATGTATGCAAGTATGGACTTGCAACTGCCAATAGATATGCAGACACGCTACTGTGTGTAAGTGAGTTCATGCTGCTGCATGAATAGGCATACATAATGAGATTTTGGTGTGCGGGTGGTTGGGGGAATGTGTCATTCATTCATTCATTCATCAATACATACATACATACAAAAATAAGCCAGACTATTGAACCAGTGAACCAGACTCACTGAACCAGACTGTTTAAATGTTGAGCAAGCAGTCTCATTGGCTGTAAAAATCAATTAGCTTGGCCATGTAGTAAATTATGTGATTGCTAGCAGATTACATATAAAGGACCAACCAGCCTGAACCATCTAGAGTTTCTCGACTGAACTAGATATGTTTTCTAGGGTCATATAGGTTTGTCTCTCACTTTGTATTTGTTAACCAGGGATAACACACACACATACACAATGCTCATTTATCAAACACACACTGTCAATTAGGTGCTTGTAGGGTGCACTAAAAAGGTTAATTTACACAATAGCATAACTGAACCATTTTCACAGACATGAAACATGAGTTGTAATTAGCATATTAACTGAACATTAGCATACCTGTGTACATCATTCACAGATGTTTAGCTTTGGTATAGTTGATGTTTAAATAGTAGACATCAGACAGTAATATGTTTTCACTTTATACAGTGCAATTCTGCCAATTCCAAATGCTTATATCTATTCTTATATACAGTATACACTGTAAAAAATAAATGTGTTTTTACAGAGAAAAAACAGTAGAATTTAACAGTAATATCACATTTTGATAGGAACTGAGAAATTCCATAAAAATGCATACATTGACACCAAATGTACATTTTATCTGTTTTTCAAGTGATTATATGTTTCTTTAAAAAATGGCCTTTTGTCTTTAATTAAAAGTAATTATGTATTTTTAACCTTACATGTCCTTAAAAAAAACGTTCATATATAATGTTTTTTCAGATTAAGAAAACATATCAGATGGGAAATACATTTGTTTTCTATTAAAATGAAGGAAATATTTAAAAATGGAAGTGGAGTGGCATTTAAAATTATAAAGGGAAATTCCTACGAATGCATATCAAAACATGCTGAGGAAGGTTGTTCAGAGAAAGAGATTTTTAATTTCGCAAATGTTGAAGTCCTGTGCTTTCGTGAAACATGGGCAGTAAAGCTTGATCTCAAACTGAATATTTTGTCACATTTTTCAAAAGGACAGCATACCACCTCTCCCTTTGCTAAATGTGACCTGAGATGAGAAAGGACTTTGTTTATGTCTGGGCATTTCTGCTGACAGTTTGAACTGTTGCAAACAAATGTGCCCGTTGAATCATCCAAATGAGTTTGTTGTCTTTTGTGATGGCGATAAACATGAGCTTTGAGAGCATTGTATTTTGTGAACTTAAGTTTGCAGTCTGGGAAACAACATGGATATTGAGCATTTGCTTCATGTCTGTGTAAGATCTGATGACTAATGTAACCCTTAACTGTCTTAAGAGAGCAATCACAAAATTTGCACAAATACATATAGAGTTAAAGGTAACACACCTGATATGAAATCATTTGTCCATCCAATGAGTGTGCTTAAGTTCTAAAAAAAAAATAATAATAATAAATAAATAAAACAATGAACCAGAACCAGACTCTGTTCCAATAAAACAAATAACTACACAGCTCTCTAGGCCAATTAACATTTAAATTCTTCCAACAAACAGTTCACGATCTGAACTGCAAGATGACCAGCTAACAATTTATGTAGTTAACAATTTCCACCTGTTTGCCATTAACATTTAAGATATCATCAAGACAGGTCACTTGAATTAAAAAAAACAAAAAAAAAAAACACTTACTCGACATCAGGGTCCAGGGTTGATGAATTCTGTCATTTTGCCATCCACACAGCAGAATATGTTGCTTAAAGCTAGCCTACTTGACAGAAACTTTTACTTACAGATTTTTAAAACAAACTGACGCCTGTATTCAAACGAAGTAGCGAACCTCACCCCGTGCAGTATGGAAAACACGCACCGTTCAACTTGTCAGATCATACAATAAAAACTATAAACGTGACCGTTTCTATATCTGTAGGCGTGGGGTGTTTTTAAATCATGCAACGGAAAGGACGGCCTAACCTCACTGTTGTGACGTGAGCAAATCAGGTCCTGCAGAGACCTTGTGTGCGTTGCCTGTTGTGCCAATTAACTCTGTTTACATCCAGTCACGCTTTCCCATCGGAGCAACTACCTTAATTTTTGTGCCAGCGCGGGATTAAATGCTGCGTTTTCGTCTCCACTGGTAGGTAATATCTTGATTAACTTAATGATAAACGTAAGCCTTGATTCGTGTCGTGTTTTTCTTATAGCAATGTTCAAATCAAAGACGGCGGCGGCATCAAAGAAAGAACAACAACAACCCACAACACGTAGAGGTATGCAATTAAAAAATGCTGCATTTTTGATTTTTAAATTGTTTCCAAATTCATAATGGGGTCAGGGGCACGTTGTCTACATTTATCTGTAGCAACCCAAATTTAGCTAACCCTCTCATTGTGTAAACCTCTTTCCTTTACAAAAAAGAAACACATTTCTCAAGGACACGTGGAGTAGTCTAATGCCCGAAAATTCGTCAATAAACGGAAGGAAGAAGGACACCATAAAAAATGGTATGCATGTTTAACTTCACTTTTACTTCAAATTGAAACGCTTACAATTGAGATGTATAACCATTCTCTCTTTCTCTTTCTCGTTCTTTCTCTTTCAGGGACCAAGATGCAGAATGAATTGGAGTTGTACCCATTGGTCTGTCCAAACCCTTGTGTGTAGAAGACTTGCAATGATGATATTAATTGGATTTGTTCATGTTGTGTTTTAGAAAGATTTATAGGATAGTTATAGTGTCTATTATGGATTATACAAGCATTGTGAGAAGAGTTTTATGTTCTTAATGTTTTGAGTTTCATATTTTACCAAGTGTTAGAACCTAGTGATACTTTTAAGCAGTGTACAAATGTTGGTATTGCTGTTTTTAAGATTGGTGTTATTTACAATAGAAAAGGTATTGCATTGCATTACATGAAAATAGAGGGGGACTAATTAATATTGATTGTTTGTAATAAATTCATATTTGTGAGTGTGACATATTTACACGATACACTATAACTAACAGCCTTAAAACATCACAGATTAAAAAAAAATAAAACTGTCATAGCTTAATGTAAAGTTACAGCTGTAAGCCATAATCATGATACCATATGTATGTGTAAACATGTTACTTCAGTTCTTGGTGTATCACCATTATTCCCATTAATGGCAAACGTTTGGCACCCTGTGCTGCCATGCATTGCACCTTTTTTTTACGTGTTTTTTTTTTACAGTGTACTTATAATAGTAAGACACTGTAAGCTATTACCAATATATGCCAAATCCATGCTTGCACTGAAGATGTAAAAAAAAACAAATATGATCCTCACACGAAAAATGGACCAAAAAAATCTCACATACATTTATTGTCCAGAGGCCACAAATAAAGTGCAAAAAAGTGCAAAGTGCACTCAACTAGGTCTAGACCTAGACCTAGAAATATGTTATATTTGATGTATTCTGAACTCTTCTGAAATCATTATGATTAGTAGATGATGTGGAGGCTGATGTTACCTCAAATCTGTGTCCAGGATAGGACAGACTAAAGACTCATGACTGAGCGGAGCAGTACGCACGCCATCGGAGATCTTTTGATTTCTGTCTATCACTGACTTAGCAAGCAGTATTGAAGTGACCTAACAAACTACACTTTTCGCTCTGATCAAGCAGTAGGCGGCTGGCTGAAAGGTATAGGTTAACCTTGCACCCTCTAACTATGTTCAGACTGGCGAGTTTGTGATCATGAGATCCACGTACGGCTGTCGTGAGACTATAATGCGACATCGGGTCCCTGATGAACGAATGATTGAAAGTATGGGATGTCCAGAATAATTAAATATCTAAATTAATACATAACCGGTATTTGTGATCAGTTCTTAATTTGAAAATTAAATGATCACAGTCAGATTAAACACGGCGCCAGAACTAAATTGAAACTAAATCCTTATAAATGAAGTGAACTTTGCAGAAGCACAAGTAAAAGACCTTGCCCACGCCATTGGATTCCGTATTTGGGTCAATTGAAGTGTTGACGGGGATATAATGGGGTTATAATGGGGATATGGATGCAGGGAAAATGTGTGTCCAGTCAACAATATTTTGGTGCATATCAATTCATCAGTTGGTCAAAGCTAAACAAATAAGACATATACTATACCTTCATCCTCAAAACCCATGAACAAAACCATAGGAAATGTGATCTAGACTACACTACAGGCATGTTCACATAGAACATCAAGGTTTATGTTGACCACAATATGTTTTGTATGGTGAATTGGTGACTACAGAGAACATGAATTAATTAATTTTAATAAATTGTTCATGTATTTACAAAATTAGCAATTTTGTCATTTTGTTAACAATTTTGCATATTGCTGAGCTTCAGCAGTCTATACTTACATCAATACATTTTCATATTTGCTTAACAGTTTTGGTAAAATCTAAGTCCTGAAGCACAACCAGCTGAGAAGCACTGATCTATAGAATTTGTTTCTTTCTTTCTTTTTCAAATCAGCTGGTGGCGGTAAAAGTTGCAGCCATTGCTAATTGATTCCTCCACACAATAAGGCTGAGAAAAACCCCTTTGAGCAGCAATGGCTTTCTCTCCCGACACACAAAATCTTCTTTTCTTCTATAGCATACAGTGTATTCAGAGTACAGTAAATCGGGTGGACTCAGCCTGGTGGATAATAATATATCAGCAACAATGGAAACCCTAACACATATTCCCACAGAAATGAAAAGCGTGCACAAAGCACATACAGAAAAAGATGACATATGTGTGTCTGTAATGTAACACAGCCTGTTGTAAATAGCAGCGCCCTTGCGTTGGCCATAGACAGTGTGGGCTCTTGGTGAGGAATGCCTGTGAGAGAGGGTTAACGAATCTTTTTCACAGATAGATATTGCCATGGAAACAGCTCCGTGACTGCTTGCAGCTTTTATTCAGTACACACAGGCAAGGGGGGTTGGGGGGTGGTGTTGTTGAGAATGAAGCAGAGGCAGAACAATAGTGCCAGAAGTATTTTACAATTCTGAGAGTGCTGACATACTTAAGCACACTTAGCTCGTATTTAAGAATTAAGAAGAGTGTAGTCGATTAAAAAAGGAAAACAGAAATCAAGGAAGCTGCCAGTCAGTACCGCCCAATCTCCCACTTCCTATATCTATGCAGTGTGATCCAAAGGAAGACATAACATGCACACAGGCTTGTGAGTCATTGTGCAGGGTGCAGTCCGGCATGCTTCGACACCGCACTTCCTGTTGATGCCTAAATGCAGGAAATGCAAGACGAAACCATAAATAAATTCATTTCCAGAGTGCAAAACCTGAGGCAGTGCGGCTTGAGCAAATTGAGAGAGAGAGAGGAGCAAGTGATAGAAGAAAGCAGCGATGACGTAGAAAAGGGGGCACACAGAGAATCCCCCTACCCTCCTCCTCTAATTTCCCCTCCATCTTATTTCTCTTCTTGAGTGCTGGCTGAGCTGTGCAGTGTTTGACTCAGTCATTGGAGCGGCGCTCTGGACACATTTAGAATCCCTCTTCACTGCCTGAGGCGACTGGGGGAATACATTAAAGACCATGGAAAGGCACACTATTCACTGTAAACACTGTTGGTATGGCACACTCTATGTGCCAGATGCTCCATGTGAAAGAATGGCTTATCTAGAGAAGTTCTACATCACAATAGGTCACTGAGTGTTCTAGATCCAGTGCACAAAGTAGCCACTGTTTCTTTGCAACAGCTACACTGCTGCTCTCATTATTGTTACACATTTGATAAAATGTGTCTGTTCTTTCTCTGCAATAACAAATGCCTCGCGTGAATCTATTAAAACAAAATATTTTCTATTCTGGACATTTTGTTGTAAATGGTACAATGAATGAAAGAACACATTTCAGGCTATACATAATACAAAGCATATTTAAAGGCTTTAGTCCAGAAAGACTGGAGTAGTGCTGTGTTTCTGGGAAAATGACAAATGGGGCTGTGCACATTGGGCGCTTTGTAAAAGTCCTGACTTCACATGAGTCATAAGACCAAACATGAGCCTTATTTTCTTTCTTTCTCATTTTTGTTCTGCGCATTTTGAAGTTTTGAACTGTGTTATTTGCAGCCGCCTGTCCTGGCTTTTGGAGTCATGCTCAGGAAACAATGCGTTCCATTTGTGACTAATACAATCAACAGGATACTGAACATGATGCATAAAAAAAATATATATATATATAATAAAACATTAATTATTTTAAATATTTTTGAATGATATCTATCAGAATATAAGCCAGTACATGTCTTTATTCATCACATTACGTTTTAATGTTTTTGTTAGTTTCTTTTTTTTTTTTACCATGCTTTCACAATTATCTAAAAATGGTTTATTCATAAGTACACCACACTTTCTGCTCATGCTGTGATATTTCCACCTTTAAAAATAATAAATATTTTAGACATATATCTGATGGACTGACATCATCATGTTTTTTATTTTTATTCATTTTTTTTCTTGTCCACATGGTTCAAACAGAGGTTAGTTTCTCTGATATTCCAGTATTTCATTATGTTTGCACTTATTGGGTCTCTTAAACACAATAGTCAGTTGATAAATAGTATGTTGTTAAATAACATGATGTGCTGCAATAGTTTCTAGTTAATTCTGTAATCAACAATTTTGCACTTACCTTCAACCCTGTACCATTCAATTTCAAAATATTGTGAATGTTACAGGTTGGCACAAAACATGTTTTGAAAACGAAATTATTTAATTGTAATGTTTCGATGCAAGTATATACAAAAGTGTATACTTTTCATGTTTGGCTCAGGGTTAGTGACAATAAATAACCATTGTAACCACATATTTATTATTAGGGGTAATAGCCTACAAATCTGGCATTGAAACATTTTTGGGAGGAATGTTCAACGATGGTGTAAATCTGTATAAATCTGCTACAAACATAAACGTAAATGTAAAATTTTTTTTTACTTTTTTACGTCATAGAAACCCAATGTGAGACTCACATTTGCTAAATTTATAGCTCAACAAGGACATTCTATTGCAGTGCTCATTGCATTATCTCATAGCCAAGATTACGAGGAACTCACTGTCACATAATGTTGATAGATCTTGACGGGCTGTGTTCCGGCCTAAACCTGCTGTTCTTGCATCCAGTGGGGGTCTAACAGTTGTTGACTCACCAGTGTGAAGCCAGGGGTGTTCATATCAATCATGCATCATTGTGTGCCACTTGACAGGGACTCCAATTCTACATTCACTACATGTTTAAGAAGATGTTTTGGGTGTACCCTGATATGCATCCGATTGTCATGGGGTACTAATAGACTCAGTTAAGCGTTGAGCATTCTTTTTTTGCAAGAGGTCACCCATATTGATTGCAATCAGTCAAGAAATGTCACCACTTCACTGGAGATGAGTCCATTCACGAATCCAGAGCCAAGGAGCAAGTGGTCCGTGAAATACCTCCTCCATGTCTATTTTAAAG